TGTACCATTTCCCCGGGGCAGGGAGGGGGGATATATATGTGTGTGTGTGTGTGTGTGTGTGTGTGTGTGTGTTTTAAGATTTATTTATTTATTTGACAGACAGAGAGCACAAGTAGGCAGAGAGGGAGGCAGAGAGAGAGAGGAGGAAGCAGGCTCTGCGCTGAGCAGAGAGCCCGATGTGGGGCTCGATCCCAAAACCCTGGGATCATGACCTGAGCCGAAGGCAGAGGCTTTAACCCACTGAGCCACCCAGGTGCCCCCCACACATTTTTTGCATATACTTTCCAGGCATTCAAATACTTCATGAAGTTCACCCATGGATCAAGAATCCCTCGAGAAGGGCAAACATCCCCAAAGGCAGAATTTCACCCAGGAACAATCCTAGTAGATGGCTGAGCAGATCTGCTTGAATATTTCTAGCGAATGAATGAGCTTAGTCCATTTCAGAGCTTTCTCTTCCCCTGTTTGTAAGGAAACTTTCATGGTTGGAAAGTTTATTGGGGGTTAAAATCTGTTTGCCTATAGTTTTCAGTTGATCTTAGGTCTTCAGTACCCAAAAATATCTCCCATATCCCTCCAAATCTTTAATTTTCCATGTTATATATTTATAATTTTTTCTTTTATTGTGTGGCTTCCAGACTTCCTTGGTATCCTGTTCATCTTTCTATAGACACCTTTAGTGTTTTTATTTAATTTTCTTTCCTTAAGATGAATAACATTCTTTATATGTGATTTGAATAGCCAATGTCTTGGTTATTGGAAATTTGTTTTCTTTTTTTTTTCTTTTTTTTTTTTTTTAAAGATTTTATTTATTTGTCAGAGAGAGAGGGAGAGAGAGTGAGCACAGGCAGACAGAGTGGCAGGCAGAGGCAGAGGGAGAAGCAGGCTCCCTGCAGAGCAAGGAGCCCGATGCGGGACTCGATCCGGGATCATGACCTGAGCCGAAGGCAGCTGCTTAACCAACTGAGCCACCCAGGCGTCCCTGGAAATTTGTTTTCATTAAGGGCATCCAATTTTGACTGAAGTCTTAGACCTGCTATTTGCTAGCCATTTTGGCCTAGTGCTGGTTACTTAACCTCCTTCATTTTGTCTTCTGGAATAAAAAGGAATAGTTATCCTATCATTATAAGTTTGTATCTTAGACATACTAGGTGCTCCATAAATGATAGTGGTAATTTTTATTAATTTGGATTAATATTATTTGGGACATTTTGGAGTTTACATCATAATTAAGGATGGACAATAAAAATCTCCAAAATAATTTTTTAAAGATGTACTTATTTATTAGAGAGAGAGAGAGAGAATGAGAGAGAGGAGCAGAGGGGAAGGGAGAGAGAATCTCAAGCTGACTCTGTGCTGAGCATGGAGACCAATGGGGAACTTGATCCCAGCACCCTGAGATCCCAACCTGAGCAGAAACCAAGAGTTGGGGGCTTCACTGACTGTGCCACTAGGCACACCTCCAAAATATTTTAAACCAGTATTTAACTTGCCCAATCCTACCCCCAGGTGACATTATTTTTTGTTTTTGTTTAAATGCAGAATTTCATAATTACATGTATTGCCAAATGTTAACATACTGGGTTTGGCCCACATGCCAGGCTCCTAAGAAATTACTGAATCCTGATCCTGTCATCCAATGTGTGACCTGTCCTTCCTAATTTTGTGGTCTCCACTCAGTGCAGGACAGAGGACCACCTCAACAGCACATATTAGCTACTCCTCCCCAAGCTGATCTTAATTCATGAAACAACTCTCTGTCAGGATCAGTGTTTGTCATGTACCTTGTTGACAACATGATACGCTATGCACTTGGGACTTCCCTGACCGAACCACCAAAACGCCCCCCAAAAACAAACCAACAAACAAATAAAAAACGGGGTGTGGGGGGGAATGATATTGTGGGGGGGAATGATATTAGTGAGGTATAAATTGTTCTGCATGAAGTCACCATGTCTCAGTCATTTATCTGAGTTCGTTCCAAGTCCCCTAAGTCATAATCAAACTATGTGAAGAAGGCGGGGAATATTCCTGATTTGTACATATTTTGAGGTGCTTCCCTAAATGTACACCGGATTACTACTTTGACTCATAGATCAGAGTGAAGCCAGTTTCAAGGACAAATAAAGGGAGAAAACCGGTGTCTTCAAAATGTGGGCCAGTTCTCTTGCAAATATGGTGGCTGTCTGTTCTCCCAGAGAAACTCATGGAGCATGGTGGTGCAGCTCCTTAGACTCGCTAAGGAAAAAAGAGGTAGCTAGGTGTGAGCTTTCTTTTTTTGCTAGATGCGCTAATCCTCCCCAAACTCAGGGACAGGGAGAAGGAGAAATAATTAGCTAGCATCCTTTCCAAAAAAATCTGCTAAACTAAAACTCTCTGAGAAGTTCAACAACCCTTATGAATGAAATTTTTAAGAACGTTTTTAAGATGAATTTTCCACACATCTTTCGGTGATTAAAAAAAAAAGAAGAAGAAGAAGAAGAAAAAGAAAGAAAACTCAATGCTAATTCCCTTTGCATGAGCTAAGTCTATTTCGCTCTTGCCTCCAGCTGTTGCATGGGTTAGGGTGATATTTGGAAGGACAGCTCATTCTATTTGGAAGGTCGTGCTGGGGAGTGTGGAAGGGGAGAGGCAGAGATGCCAGACAGGCGGGCGAGCCAGCAGACACACGTGGACTGGGCTCAGTGAGCTCCTCTTACGGTTGGAGTGTCGCTGCCTGAAATGAAATCCGAGGATCCGGCCTCGAGAGTGCAGGAGGACCGTGACCTCTCTGTGAACCTGGCAGTGAACTCTCCTCCAAAGTGCTTTTGCTCGAGGTCCCTGACACTGCGCAGGCCCTTTGCTTTGAATTTAGATTAATTGAGAGCTCTGTTAATCTAGTTGAGTGCACCTTCCCAAACCCTACCATCTACAAATACAAGGAATTTTTGAATGTTTTCTTCTTATTAGAGTCTGTCCCAAAGTTTTAAGGCATGGTAAGAGGTAGGATATGAAAATTTTCACTTTCTTCAGAGGAAGATGCAATGGCCAGTCAACAGATCTCTTATCTTAACCTTAGCTTTTAGTTAAAGCAAATAACAAATGTCCAAAAAAACATCTGGCTCTCATTTCCTGGATAAAATGCAGAATTAATTAAATTCCCCAAATACATAAACTTCTCCCTACAAATTAGCACGTGGAATAAGGTGATGCTCTTTTCATATAAGTATTCGGTATACAAAAAGAATGACCCTCTTAAGAACACGTAAATAGTATCCTAGGATGTAGCAAGGAATTAACCAAGCTCTCCAAATTCCCTCATTATCAGGAATGCATTCCACTGTGGAAGAAATTGGCATTCTGAGTCTATAGGGCTTCTTTAGAAAGGTGGTTCTTTTGGATCATCTATGCTTTCTTCTAGGGCTAGTGTGGCCTAGGGCCATGCTACCTTCCATTCTTAGGGCTCAGGTTCCTGATCTGAAAAATACAATGTGCTGATTTCCTACCTGGCATACTTGTGAGTTTTAGAGACATCACATAGACGCATGGTTTCTGGCACCGAGGGTACACTTATCAAATTGCTGGCTGGCTCTTGTTCTGATTAAAAGATAATTAGAAACAATGTCTTTGCAGACACCCCCGCCTCCGAGAAATTTTGCAGCAGAAAACAACTGGGGGATCCCCTTTAGTGAAGCAGTCTTGTGGTCAGTACCTCTGGAAACTTATCCAAAAATTCCCCTTGAGCTGATCCCCTGCTGAATCTCTTATATGCTGACTTTCATTAATATTAAGAAATACTGTTGATTGAATTTTAGAGATCATGGAAATCACTGATTCAAAGTGGTTTTCCTCCAGATCTACCTGGGATTTGTAAGGACTTCAGCCATTTCCTAAATGTCACAAAGTAGTCTGGCAAAGAGTGATTTTATTTTATTTTATTTTTTAAAAGATTTTATTTATTTATTTGACAGAGAGAGAGAGAGAGAAAGAGAAAGAATTAGATATCACAAACTGGGGGGGCGTGACAGGGAGAGGGAGAACCAGACTCCTTGCTGAGTAGTGAGCCCTGATTCAGGGCTCCGTCCTAGGGTCCTGAGATCATGGCCTGAACCGAAGGCGGACACTTAACTGACTGAGCCACCCAGGTGGCTCTGAAGAGATCTTTGGCTCAGGACAGGCTACCAGAATCCAGGAGATGGAGGGAAAGATGGGCCCACAAGAGATTGTCTGAATTTGTTTTCTGCTGAGGTGGATGCCTTTGCTGATAATGTTTCCCCAGACCACAGGGCAGTGAGTCATTACTGGTCTAATCCAATTTGCTTAGAAGATACGAATTAAATTTAAAACCCAGATATTTGATGAAGGTCATCTCATGCTCCTTTAGGTGGCACACAACAGCAGCAACAAAAAGTGATGATAACGTAGACAGGCAGAGGAAGAGACCTAGGAAACAATATTCTTGAACTTGTGTTTTCATTTATGGACATGGAAAAAAAAAAGATGAAGGAAACATTTGGAATGTTCACTTCTTCCCCCCAGCTCCTGCATCAGCCTCTTTGAGATTACAAAAATCAGCAGATTCCATGGCTGGGCTAAATGTTTTGAAGCTGTGATTCATTGATCATTTCCTCTCACTTGACATGTTTAACCAGACTAAATCAATACTTCATAGAGGAGCAATGGCTTTGTAAAAAACAGCAACACAACTGGGTGACATGAAGCACACCTCCAGGATAAAAGAATCCTGTAGACAAATTCCTTCTTTATCTCTTACCGGATTTGTGAATATCTTTGATTCAGACTCATAGGTGTGTGGCCATCTTGAGTTATTGAATTCATGAAGGTCAGGACACAAAAGTTTTTTTTGTTTGTTTGTTTTTTTTTCATTCTTCAGTGCATTAACTTGCCAACCACATGGTCTTAAATGACAGACACCAATGAAGACAAAGAATCTTAGTTTTAAATGAAGCAGAAGAGGTTGAAAGATAACTATGTCAAACATCCAACGTGCCATCCCCCCATTTTTCTTAATAAAGAAGGCACTCAATTCCAGCATATTTAGGGAACAGTACCGTTGCTTAACAAATTGACGTCACACCAGCCCAGTGTCCGCTCCCAGGCTTTATTCCTGGCAGTTCAATGAGTGCGGTATTTCAACTGGAGAACATGCAAACAACAAAAACAAAGGGTGTTTCTCAAAAATTTTAATCCCTTCCGAGAAAACATGATGGGACAATCACTTCTTCACGTGGATTGTCCCCTGGATTCAAAACTGTGCAACCAAAGACAGTTTCAGTGGGACAGATGGCCCTGGCAGTTAAGAGGGCCGGGGGCGGGAAAAGGAATAAATGAACACACTGTTTTCTGTATCAGCAAACAAAAGCGAAGGGCAAACAATAGGAATGAGCCAGCCACCATTGAATCAGAGAGTACCTCTAAACATACCTTGACTTTCTTAATACGGGGAGATCTACTTCTTCGTTAGCCAGTCTGCGCACGTGCACAGAGACGCCTGCCTGCCTGCCTGCCCTTGAACCTAAGGATGCTGCCTCTCTGAGAGGAACTGAATTTTGGCCGGGTGCACGCAGCCCTCGCTGCGACTTGACAATGCCACTCGTGATAACCAGTAAGGGACTGCTGAACGAGGCAGAGGACGTGCAGCACACTCGTTTCCTTCGGGTCGAATCGCACATCTTGGACGGGTTTGGTCAAGTGCACAGGGCACGCAAAGACCTTGCTTCCCCTCCGGGCTGTGGGGGATGGAGCCGTGGGTAGTGGGACGGCGCCCCGGGGGGTGGGGAAAAATCCATTTGAACGCTGCTGTCTGCTCCGTGGGGCTGAGGCCTGCCAGCTTTTGTTTACTCCTTCTTACACAAGAAGATCGCAGCTGTTTCTTTCCGTAAAAAGGAGGAGAAGAATATAGCAACCTACCTCATATTTTCCCCTCCTCCAAATGTGTGGGGAGCCCAACAGCTGTCTTTGCAAGTCCTGCCACTCAGATTGGATAGCTCTACATGAGCAAGAGTGGAGTGGGGACGCTGAGATTGCTGGCTGGCGCGAGGTGGCAGGTGGGAAGGAGCCGTTCTCTTAATGGGCTCACGTGGTGTGCTCCTGCGGGGATTGAATCAAAAAAGAAAAAAAAAAAAAGCATTTAAAGGAGGCGATGAAGGGAAGTTGAATACACACGTCTTGCGTTTCATACTTACAGATCTGAATGGCCGTGAAGCATGAATTCACTGGCTGTTAGTACTGGAAGGGATTTGAAAGGTCCTCTTGTCTGGGAGTTTTCAAATTATTTTTAGCAGCGGACTTTTTTTTTTTTTTTTTTTTTTTTGGCCCGAACACATCTTAGCCCAGGAGTATCAAATCATAAATGGTAATACCTACATAGAACAAGCAGGAACATCAGTGGAAAAAGTGGGATTTAAGAAATGCAGCTCTGATAACAAATGGACTCGGCACTGGGAACACGGTAGGAGTGGTGGGGACTGTGGCAAACTGGCTGGGCCTGTTTGGGGTGTGCCAGCTGCCACCCCCTTCCAGCATACTGCCACCTGTGCCAGGTAGGGACCCATTCACCCATTCATCCCTTTAATTAATTCATTCATTTCTTAAGTCCTTATTACGTACCACGTACAGTTTTATGCATACATAAAATGGATAAGATCCCTGTTCTCGGAATGCTTATATTCTAGGGAAAGAGGCAGTTAACAAAAAGGGAAATGCATAAAAATGTATGTATTTGTAAGTTGTGAAATACCCCAAGAAGAAAAGTAAAGCAGGGTAAGGGATAGGGAGTAACTGAGAAAGGGGGCATTAGAGAGAACTGTCTGGAAGGGACTTTTAAGGGAATGCATTATAGCAGAGAATTAAGTGATGGGAAGAAATGACCCATGTGCGGATCTGGGGGTATGGCGGGGTGGGGAACATCCCAGAGAATAGAAAAGGAGAGTGTGGGCATTCCGAGGCAAGCTTTGCTTTCACCCACCCCCCCTTCTAACTAAGCACCATTTGGAAGTCTGCCCCGGTTCAAACTCTTCTGTGTACCTTAGACAGGAGACCAGAGAGGTGAAGATGCTTGTCCAAGGCTACACAGGTATTTCAGCTTCCATCCAGTCCAGTGCTCTTTTTCCTATCAAGTGTGTGCACTCATCATTTTCTTTCACGCCCCAAGAATGAGGTAGTCTTAATAGAGTCGACATAACTAAGGCTTAAATGACTAATGAACAACACCGCAAAGAGTATCAATTTCCACTTGGGAATTCAAGGAAATATCTAACTTTTCCTAGAAGTCTGTCCTAATTAGCCTAGTCAATTTCTACCCTGGGGTATAATTCTAGGTTGTGTACAGCCTTAACATCTTTCTGTGCTTTTTGCAAATATGATTAATATTTAAGTCATTTACTCCTATCCAATAAATTAAATCCCACAGCAACCAAAGAGTCTAGAACACAGGAAAAAAAAAAATCCAAGTTACCGGTGAAGAGAACAAAAATTATCAGCTAAGTCTGACCAATTTCAAGAGGCATGTTGATTTTTTAAAAATATATGCTCAAATTATCCAGTTATCTCACATCCCTAGTTCACTTTCCTCTCAAAAGTTAGGTCAGCTGAGAGATGAAATACTGGTCTTTGATTATCTCTGGGTTCAGAAAACAGAATACAACAGTTTGCTTCTGCTCAGTCAACTCATTGCTAGTTCTCCAATCAGCCAGACATCAAAGTCAGGTAAAAAAAGAATATTGACCTATCAGAATGGATAAAAACATCATGGCAGTGGTGGGCTCCTCTTTCTCTCACTTTCCTCCTCCGCCTGGGGCTGCAGCCACAAGGAGGCTGGCCTCCAACTGTGTTAAAGATTGGCTCCAAGACAAAAAAATGCACCTTCATCTTCTGCAACAGGTGTAAAATGTTCCCTGATAATAACCTACAACTTCTCTCTTCATTTCTTAAATACAAATAAAATTTGCCTTTCATTCATATTTCATTACAAAAAATACATACATGTTGAATCAGAGAGAAGCTCACTCAAAAGAATCTTTTGTTTTTAGTTTTCCCTTCTAGTCAGTAGATGTGAAAGGCAGTGTCATGTCCCACTCATTGAAATCTTTTGAAATGCCATTAGACTTTTCTGAATCTTCTAGATAACATGAAAGGAAATCAATAGAGATCTTCCCAGGTGAAAGGAGTTTGACTAGTTAGTGTGTCACTCATTTTGTTTAACCAATTAGAAGGCAGTCAGTTGTTAGATATTGGTTATGTTTCATTCTTAGTCATTTATACATGCTTCCGTGGCAGATTTTGTTTAGTAAACATCAATAACAATGGCAACACCCAAGGAGGAAAAACAACCTATAAAATTATAACCTAGGTTTCCCTTTTATTGAAAGTACAGTGGAAAATTATCTTGAGATAAGCATGGACCATTTATGGGACATGTCTCAGAAATATTTGTTTTTTTTGTATCTGTGCTTTGGGATGATGCTGATTTAGTTAAATCTCTGAATTATTTTATTAAGCATTTAATTTAGTGGGTATCTACAGTGGGGGAGGTAGGAAAATGTGGGTATAGTTTATACAGTTGCTTACAATGTCCATAGAGATTGGACTAACCCATAAACTAACCTAAGTGTCATCTAGTATAAAATTTGTGTTATGAAAATTATAAAGGGCTAAAATAACTAGGGAAGAGTTTATGGAAAATGAAGTTTGGATTGGGTCTGAAATCATAGGTTAGGATTGGATTTGTGGAGAGAAAAGAAACCTGGCAGAGAGACAAGCATGACAAAGCCACAAGGCAGTAGCAAGCCTGCCCAGTACATGAAGGAAGGGGGTTGGCAGATGACAAGATCGGAGTAGAGAGGATGCCTGACAGATACTAGTAAGGCATATTGGGGAGAAACTTGGATCCCGGGAAGAGAAACTTGTGTTGTTCTAAGAGGCACTAGAGAAAACTTGCTTGGTTTCTCTAGCTTGGAGCTAGAGATGCTGGTGGTGATAATACAGAAAAAATATGTGAGGGACATAGGATCAAAATTTCAAAAATCACTTGGAAGCTTACTGCAACATTCCTGCATAAATGGCCCCCAAAGGGTGGTAACAAAAAGAAAAGAGGTCTAAAGAAGAACGTGGCATAATGCTTGATTCCGTCCTACATATATTCACAGAGATGGATTGGATGCCTCTCTGTGCTATAGATATAAACACCCAATACCATCTCTCCCCTGTGGGTTGTAAAGCCTAGAAGACTGTGACTGAAGTTGAGAACCCGTATGTGGATCTTTTAGCAAAGTGGTATGTCAAATGACTCTTGCAGAAAGTGAGACAGAGGGCCAGACAAATAAAACACTCAAGTCCTTGGGCTATTCTTTTATCCTTAGGGAGCCTGGTCATCCTGTAGGAAAACAACCAAGGAGTGAGATAATGCTTGGTCTGCCTGTGTGTCCATCAGCCTTGGCAATGGCTAAAGGTTGACCTCTGAAATCCCAAAACCCCACTCCCAAGGGCCAGCAATCTTTTCAGTATCAAAATTGGTGGGAAAAACTCTGGACCAGTACTTATATGTCTCCTGACTGGAGTCTTGACTCTGATACTTGCTTAGTAGTATGATCTTGGAAAGTCATTTATGCTTTCAAAAATCTCATTTGGTTTCTTCATTTTTGAAACTGAACTAAGGCCAGTTTCCTGGCAAACTCAGAGGATTATCAGGAGGATCCAGGGAGAAATACTTATCAAGGTCACTAGAGCACTATGATGATGGTGGGCCCCGGAAGAGAGTGAAGAAGGCCACTTGCCCTGTTCTGGTTATCAGGGAGTGATATTTTTTAAAAAGATACGTAAGCATCATTCTCATGCTAGGAATTTTAAGCCTTGATCTAAAAAAAAAAAAAAAAAAAAAGCCTTGATCTAAAGAAACAACTCTGGTCTAGTGATGTGTTAGTTAAATGTTTTTGCTGGGGATGTCTTTTTTAGCTCCAAATGAAAATTTGCATAAATCTTCAACGTATGAGACAGAGAAAACGGGGAATCATTTTTAGCATAAAGATTTTTAAAAATAATTTTTAATATTTACTTGTTATGAAATCCATTGATGGAATAATGAAATTGTTTTGATTAGCATGAAATTAGAAATGGAATCATATCCACTTCAACCTCCAATTTTATATTTTTTTACTTTGATAGCAGTGTCAAGACAATTGTCATTCACATAGATAAGTAGCTAAAAATGGCAATAATTAGCTTTATCAGTTTACCTTGAATTCTCCGCAAAATCTTTAAATAAACAGAACAGGAAAAGCTTTGCTTCAATGTCTAAGCACAAAAAATGTTAACAGACAGGAAATGTTAATATGCAGAGGAAGAAAAAAGGTTAAATTTGGTACACACTGCATGGGTATAAGTTTTGTTTTATTAATGTGTTTTAAATAGTAAAATGCTTCAACAGCATTGTTTGGATCAAATACCTGTGGAACTGTTAAAAGAACTCTCTGGAACCTTAAGCATCTACAGAATTGTGTTTGAAGCTGGCCATGGACTTTGAGCACAGGATACTGTTCTAAGCACTATTTGTGTTTTATTTCTTAGTTCTCGTAACCTCTCGTATGAGGTGGAGGAGACCCTGAGACTCACGAAAGCTGAGTAACTTTGCATAGAGCACACAGTTGGAAAACAGCTCAGGCAAGATTCAAACCCAGGTTGTTTGAATCTAGGGTCTTAAGCCCCAGAGGAGGAGAATGGATTCATCTCTGGCTATGCAACTTAGTAGTCAAGCAGTTTCAGTTTTCACACCAATCAATTACAGATCTGTTGTGAAGCTTAATTATGACACTATCTGAAAACCTGTGCATTTAGTAGGTGTTTACTAGATGTTTGCTGAGTCTGAATTTACCCTATGGCTGAATCACAAAACCAGCTACATAGAATCCTTTAATATGGTGGTTGGCAAACTACAGCCACAATATCTGCCCTGCAGCCTAATCTTATAAATAAAGTTTTATTATAACACACCTATTCGTGTATATTTCTGTATTGTCCATGTAGTTGTGACAGAGATTGTGTGACTTACAAAGTCTGAAATAGTCACTCTCTGGCGCCTTTTACAGGAAAACTGT